TGCCCGAGCCGGTGCACTCGCTGGGCCGGAGAGCGACGGGACCGGTGTGCAGAGCTGAGGGGAAAGGAAGCAGGCGAGGGGAGGTGTGCAGAGTGCAGGAGAGCTCAGAACTGGGGTCCAGAGGGGCTGAGGCCTTGGCTGCGACGGGGCCGATGGGTAGACACAGGAGAGAGATGGGTGCGGCCAGATAGTGGAGGCCTGGGGCCGGTGCCAAGGCCTCCCTGCTCTTCTCTGAGCATGGGGCACACAGCACCGCCTCTGGGCAGAACCAGGATTGGGATCCGGGGGAGCTGGTGGGGGAGGGGCAATTTGATGTCCTTCCAGGTCCTCTGCCTTCACATCTCCAAACACTTCAGCCTGTGGCCGCAGCCCCGAGCCCCAGCCCCCTGGAGTCCTTCGAGGAGAAACTGCGCCAGATCCCATCGAAGACAACGCCACCAATCATGAGTGACACCCCTCTGAGACTCGGTCTCCTGATGAAGAGGAGGGTGGGGAGGAGACAGGAGAGGCCTGGGCCCTGTGCCAGCCTGGTGGGCTCCAGGCCACTTAATCAGGCTGGTGCAAGGCTGGGGCCAGGGTTGGGGTCCCAGGTTCAGTGGGAGGTACGAGGACCCTGCAGGCAGACCCAGCTCCCGGGGAGGGGGGGGTCCTGGCTCAGCGGGCAATCCCAGGAGAAAAGGAGCCAATGGATGCCAGGAACCAGCCTCTGAAGCCACCTTGAGGATTTCCCAGCCTCCAAAGCCCCCGGCGGGCGCCCCATCAGCCGGAAGTGAGTAATCACCTCTCAAGACCCACCAGCAGCGACAGCCCCACGGCCAAGGACAGGGGTAGGAAGTGTGGCCAGGCTGGCTGGCTGACCGCTGACCAAGGCTCCTTCCCACCAGACCTGAGCGATGGACACTGTGTCGGCCCCGACAGGGCAGCAGGGAGGACTGCAGGGGGACTGGGCCTCCCAGGACACCCCCTCTCTCCCCCCCCCCATGTGCCCCTCCCACCTCGCCCTTCGCAGCAGGAAGAGCCAGGACTTCCCTCACTCCCTGAATCCGAGGAGGGGGGTGGGAAGCCAAGCGGGGCAGAAATTGCGGGGGAAAACCCACTTCATCTGGTTCTGTAGAAGTTAAATAGAACCAGATGAGTTTGTTTTCCACGAGGCTTTCCTGTTCCGGTGAGAATGAAACGCGCACGCTCGGACGAGCTATAAAACGTGAACTGTCACCTCCGTGACCTCGCATGTGAGTTAGCTGCACGGATATTTGAACGGAAACACGTTGAACAATAAAGATGAACGGTAGAATGCACGTTGAGCATTTAAATTTAAATTTTTCTTTAGTCAGAAGGACATTCAATAGCCAAGAGCTTATCACCGGGCAGTGGGCAGCCCAAGGGAATGAGGGCTGGGCCTGTGCCCCAGGACAATGGCTTCAGGGCTGGAGGGGCCTCTGGGGACAGGGACAGGGGCAGGGACAGGACAGAGGGCCGCACAGCACCTGAGACGCACTCCGTAGGGGTCATAGTTGTGAGTGTTAGTGCCAACCAGCGAAAACTACAGCCCCCCAGTTCCCCAGGTCTATGTGGGGTGTATGAGGGACCAGGCCCTCCCGGGGCGGCTGCTGATGAACAGAAAATGGGGTTGGCTTTCTGGTCAGGACCGTGGGCTCTGGACAAAAGCACAGCCCCCTCCTGGAGGCCAATGGAAAACGGCCTTTCTGGGGCTGGGTTTGAGGACATACAGACGTTGGAGAGAATGTTCCAGAGCACCGAGGCGGAGGGGCAGACATTTGTAAACAAATGTGAGTACACAAGTGCCAGAGCCCGCCTTCGTGCTCTGTGCGGTCGTTTCTGCACCCCGACAAGGCTGGATTGGAGGCTTTTCCCCACGGATGAGGCTGGGCCTTCATTCCGCCAGCAGCTGCTCACGGGCGCTGGCTCCATGCTGCACGTATTAGGCAGCAGGGGCGAGACCAGTCCCCGCTCCGTGGGGCTCACGTCCACAGGGGCGTGGAGGAAACCCAGGCTGCTGAGCAGACGGGGCATGGATCCTGACCCAGCACATCAGGAAACGGTCCTGGACAGCCTCCCAAGAGAAGGGCAGGAGCCACCAAGCGAAGCAAAGAAAGGACGCTCCCGGCAGAGTTAACAGCACATGAGAAGGTCTGCAGTCAAGTGCGGTCCTGCCAAATTCAGGAGCCTTAGGTGGTTCTGGGGGGTAATGCTTAGGGGCTGGACGGGAAACCGGAGAAGCCAAAGGACAGGAGGGCAGGAGGGCAGGAGGGCAGGAGGGCAGGTTCCCCGCACACCACACAAAGGGGCCATGGCTCAGTGCGGAGGTTGCCAGGGTTCTGCAGGAATTACCTGATCCCTCCTCTTTTTCTCTGAGTGCAGCTGGACTGGCTGGAGCAGGAGTCCCGGCAGGGCTGAGCCCCGCAGGCCCCAGCCAAGCAAACCGAAAGTGAGTCAGTGGCTGCACAGATTTTGCAGGAAGGGTTTAGTCAAATTTTCTCATGTACGAAAGACATGCTAATCCAGACATAAATTAGTGCAGGGTGTTACTGAGTCCATAAGGAGAGCCTTTTGAACTAGTTCCCCACCCAGGCTCTGCCCCAAATAGGGAACTGGCCTCAGTAAGGGGCTCCTCCCAGGCATGGGGTGTCTCATTCATTCACTTCTCCCTGTTGATAAACAGCCCAGCTATGTAGATGTTTGATAAAAGAGTGGATGAGTAGCTGGATGAGTGTGTGGGTGGATGGATGGGTGTAGGATGGGATGGATGGATGGATGGATGGATATAGGGATGGATGGATGGATGGATGGATGGATGGATGGATGGATGGATGGATGGATGGATGGATGGATGGATGGATGTAGGGATGGATGGATGGATGGATGGATGGATGGATGGATGGACGGATTGATGAGTAGTTGGGTGAATGGGTAGATACAAGTGCCAGTGGATGGAAGAGAGGGTAATTGTTTTATAAAATACAAAGATTCTTTTGATGTCAGGACACAACACAATGGCACTTGAATGGAAGAAAGGCAGAGATTTTGTTCTTTTAGTTTCAAATGAGAGGAGGCTTCCAGCCTGAGCCACATAGGGGCTGCCCCCAGGACCAGGGTAACGGCAAGCTGGCGCTGCAGGGAGCAGAGTACGCCTGCAGTCAGGAAAGGTTAGCCAGGCTGCCCAGGTTCCCTGTGGGTTGGCTGATTTGAATAATTTTGTGAGGTCCAAGGTATAGGGACTACCCAGGATGCTTAGGGCCAGGGCACGGTGGTCCGAGGTATGAGAGCCCAACGGGGGAAATGACTGGAGTTTGAACTCAGCTGCCCAAGTAGGACTGACCAGGCTCTAGCCAGGACCTCAAAACTGGGCCAAGGCGGTTTTTTAAAAATTATACCACAGCGGTGGGTAGAGAAGTGTGCCGATGGACGGGTGCCCTCTGGAGCTCTCTTGGTCAGTAGTCCTCACAGAAGCATCAGCATCGGGTCCAGACCTCTGAATGTGGGGGGAAGGACGTCGCAAGGTCCCCGTCCATCCTGATGGGTCTCGGCATGCTTTGGATCATAGGACCCCTTCAACAATTCGCTGAAGGCTCTAGATCTTCTTCACTGGAAAAAGCCCATAGCACAGTTCCGTATACCATTTCAGCAGACAGTAGACTCTAGGCAGCTGACCCACAGGGCCCTGTCCCGACCTGGAAGGTCAGGACCCTCAGACTAAGGAGCCCAGTGGTGCTGGACGGCCAGTGTGCAGAGCAGTCCCAGGGCGGGGAAGGACTTGACTCAGGGTTACGTGACAGGCTCATCACAGCTGCGCCAGGCCTAGATCCCAGGCTTCCCCGTGAACCTTTCTGGGACTCAGGTTCCCCATCTGTGTGACGATGGAGTCGGACTTCATTACTGGCTTATATCTGGATCAGAGAAGTTACAGGAGAAGGAGAGACCGCAGCTGGGGTTCCGACCCCCCTGTCTATTCCTCAGCTCCTCCAGGCCCACTTTGTTTGCTGTCTTTTGAAGGAAAAGCTTTAAGAGTTTCCAAAAAGAAAAAAAAAATGTTTGAAAACCCCCGCATTTTGCGGTCTCTCTGCTTCCAGGAGTGTTAAGTGCTGTGAATTGTCAGCAAGTCTCCAGAGAGAAGCCGAGATCAGGGAAGGAGTGAGAGGAAGCCACAGCGAGCTTCCCAGAGGAACGCCGTGTCCTGGGGGAAAGACCTTCAGCGTTGCCGGAAAACAGGACAGGGAAAGGGGTTCGAGCTCTCAAGATGCTTCTGAGTTTCCACGGCCCACCTCCCTTGGGAGGCACACGTGGCGTAAAAAATCGCCAGAACTTCCCCCTGCCCACCTGGCCACCTCTGTTTACACCTAACACGAAACAACCATGTAGGGAAAACAAATTGGGATACGCAGGAAATGTGTTAGACAATTCTGTTCACTTAAGGAGTATGCCAGAGGCAAGAACACAAGTATTTCGGGGTCACCTGCCAGGCAGCCACTATCACATCTATTATTTCATTTAATTGCAACAGGGGGTGCAGAGAGGGTAAGACACAGACCCCGGAGCCAGGAGGCCTGGGTTCCTGGGAGGATCAGCTGAGTCCATGCGTTTGTGGGCTGAGGAAAGGGGCCGCCTCAGAGTAAAAGCTGCATCGTGTCGGGACCGTGTCGAACGCTCCTCTGAGACTCATAGGGCAGCCACGGTCTACACAATAGAACTTTCCTTGGGCCAACCTGGAAATTGGTCTGTGGGACCCGCGAGCGGAGAGGCCCGCAGAGGCCTGGGCAGCCGCCGCGTCCCACCTGGTCCCTGGGACCTGGTTTAGAAACTGCAGCCAGCGGGCTCAGGGCGGTGGGCAGGCCAGGCGAGGGGCTGGGCTGGAGGTGGCGGGAGGAAGTGCCCAAGGAGGGTGATGACATCACAGCCCAGCCCTTGAAAGATGAGCTGTTCCTGCCGCCGCTCCAGCTCAGCCGGCTGCAGCTCCTCGGAGGGGAGGGGACGCCAGGCAGCCCTGCGGGACGCCGGACACCGGAGCAACGGGGGCGCCCGCGCAGCTCCCCCCAGACAAGGTGGGTGCCCGCCCGGCCAGGACCGGCCCAGCCGCCCAGCCTCTGCTCGGGGACAGGCAATCCCAGCACAGAGGGGAGGTGGCAGGTGGGTGTCACAGGGGCTGAGTCTCAGGCTGGGACAGGAGTCTCCCTCAGGTCCTGTGGCGTTTGGGCAAGTTCCCTTCCTTCCCGTTGCTGACAAGGGACAAGAAGGGCCCCTAGCAAGAGGAATTGGCTCTTTTGTTTTGGGTTTGTCTTCCGGCATCAGGGAGACAGACGGGCACGTGTGTGTTTGTGTGACATGTTTGGTACAGGCTTGATTTGATTTTCACACTCTGGCGGACGCCTCGGACAGAGCTTTAGTCCCCGAGAGGTGCGGCAGGGACGGGTGTGGGCTCAGGCTCCCGAATCTGGCTTTTCACTCACAACTGTGCTGCTCCCTGGCCCTGTGTGACCTTGGACATATTGCTTACCCTCTCTGAGCCTCGTTTCTCTGTGTGCAGAGTACTCTGCTGGCCTGCTCCCCGGGGCGGCCGGGGTTTAACTCAGACCAGGGTGGTAGGGAGTTTGTAAATGTTGGCTGATGTGCACTGAGGTGGTGATTTTAACTCGTCCCCTCCACACCACACCCCTGTCCCGGTGCAGAACAGAGGGATCGAGAGCATAGGCTTTGCATCCAGCCCTGGGTTGGAGTCCCAGCTTTGTTTCCACCCCCTGCATGACATTTTTGACCACATTTCTTCCCTGTTTCTTGGGCCATAAAGATGACCTGGCAGGGTTGCTGCAAAGGTAGAAATGGGCTCATTCCTGTGAGGGGCCACATATGTATGCAGTCGGCGCTCAATAAATGGTAGCCCTTATTAGAACTGCTGAGGGCAGGCTGTGTCCTGGGCCCGGGCGGGGGTGGAAGATGGGCGTTGCTCTCCGGGGCAGGTTAGAATGTGCCTCCCTGAGTCACCAGCTGCCCGTGGCTCCTGCAGCTCCGCAGGAAGCTTAGGTCTGGCCCAGGTGTGGGGCAACGGGCCCGGGCCAACCCCACCTCTGAATTCCTTCTCTGAGACTCCAGGGGACACTGCCCTCCCCCTTCTCTGGAGAAACACCATCTGTGCCCTCTGGGCCCTGGCAGCAGTGGGGAGATGGGGACACTGTAAGGGGGAGCCCCACAAGCTTGAAGGCGTTTTCTGGGGAGGGAGGCCCATAGGAGAAAGGGGTTTGGAAAACATTGAAAACAAGAAGACTCCCAGGCAGACCCCACAGGCAGGACCCCAGGGTCTCCACTCAGCTCTGCCCTGAACCCACAAAACCCCTGCAGTCTCCTACCCCAAGACCCTCGAGGAAGAGATGAGGAGACTGAGTGTCAAGGTGAAGACATAACCTAGCAGAGCCCTTTGCTCGGTGTCCAGGGAAATGCCTCGACCTCCTGGGGACTCAGGCTCTGTCCCCAGGGGAAGGTGCAGGTGATTAACGTGGATGGTGAGACTAAGGATTGGGGGTTAGACCAGGCTCAGGAGGTGCTGGCCGATGGGACCGAGCAAGGGAAAGAGCTGCGCCACGTGGTCTCTGCTGACACACTGACTGTGTCTGGATACAAGTTCAGAGGGGTCTGAGGGTGATGCCAAGGGCTGCCCCTCACCTCTGCTGCCTCGTGGTCAAGGAAGGGTCCACCTGGGGCAGGCAGAGTGCCCTGCAGACCCACCAGGGAGCTCTGGCTTTCAGAATGGAGGCAGAGATCTTGTCTGTCCCATCACAGCTCTCTCCCTGGCACAGGGAACTGTGCCCACCACAAGGCGGGCTCTGGTTGTTATTGCTGAATGGTTGGATGGATGGATGGATGGATGGATGGATGGATGGATGGATGGAAGGATTGGTGGATAAATGAACACTGGTCACAGAGCAGGCACTAAAAGCACACAAAGTATATCTCTACATGAAAGAAGCCAGACTGAAAAGGCTACGTGCTGTAGGATCTCAACTCTATGACCTTCTAGAAAAGGTAAAACTATGGAAAAAATAAAAATATCAGTGGTTGGATGAATAGATGGAGCAGAGAGGGTTTTTAGGGCAGTGAAGCTCTCCTGTTCAATGCTGCAATGGTGGGTACATGTGATTATGCATTTGTCCAAACCCACAGAGGGTTCAACGCCAGGAGTGAACCCCAATGTCAACTATGGACTTCGGGTGATGATGACATGTCAGTGCAGGTTCATTGACTGTAATAAATGCGCCACTGGGGGGGG